GAAGCATCATCAATTCGAAGAATAGCAGCTCCAGTCTCCCGACTTATTTTGAATGTCTGGTTTAGTATGATTTTCTATTTTTTCTTTTAGAAATTTTTTATGATTTTAATTTATTTGTACAAAAATTGAATTATAAATAAGTGAATTGAATGAAATATATAAAGATAAAGGTTAAGTGTGAACATGGTATGATTGAATGTACATTTGTCGTGGGGTTCCATGAGAAAATTGTGAATGAAAGATTATAGAAATTCAGAATGAGTAATTAACATCAAGTGTATATATGAGTTTAATGTTGAAAAGAGAATAACGTATGGGTTTGTAATAACTAATAATTAGCGGGTTGTTTGTTCTTTAATGTTTTCCTATATATCATTAATTTTTCAAATTTTACAATGCTATAACTGATTTATAATATTACATTGTATTTTTTTTTTTAATTTTTAACAAAATTGTGTTTTCATTTTTATTTCATTGATGAGTTGGAGAAGGCGACTCTGAAGTAATCATGCATCACGAAAGTCATAAGAGGGGCATATATATATGATGGAGCGTCCTCATCTCCTTCCGTTCATGTAGTGATTTGAAGCCACGTTGCAATGTAAATGGATGTGCCCTGATGTATTGGAGTGCAGTTTTCGTCTCTTTGAGATTCTCCTAGGATAGATAGCTCAGCTCCGCCCTTTTACTTTTTTATAGACATTGTTGGGGATATATACTTAACTTAGATTGATCTAAATATGTAATTGATGATATATTCAATTTGTACTCTTGACGTTCTTTAATCTCACAAGAAATGTATTAAAGATAACTCATAGGGTTTTCGGGAGCTATGAAATGTTAGCTTCTGCATTAGCTTATAAGCTTGTTTCCACAACAATACCCTTTATGTAGTGTGTTATGCAAACCTATAATGCATCCTCATCAATATAATGATTCTTCTACAAGTGTATATAAATATTCAAGTCTCATAAGTATTCTAGCTAATATCTGTATTTATTAACTTGTTAACCCACCTGTTAACCCACCCAATTATTATCATAACACATATAAAACCACTCCTACAATGAATTTACAATTCCTAAACTCCAAAATAATAACGAAAACATTTACTTAAAATAAAAATATATATGTGAATCGTGTGTTTATTGTTGGTATGACAGTGTTAGTTGTTAGGTTTGGCAATGAAAGGTGAGGCCCAAAAAGATGGAAATCCAGCGGCCGGAAACGATGAAGTGTGATGAAGCTTCGTGCGCCAACAAGTATATATGAGTTTAATGTTGAGAGGAGAATAACGTATGGGTTTGTAATAATTAGCATTAGCATGTTGTTTGTTCTTTAATGTTGTCCTATATATCACTAACTTTTCAAATTTTGCAATGCTATAACTGATTTAATAATCTTCACATTTATTTTGTGTTTAACAAAATTATTGTGTTTAATTTCATTTCATTTTTATTTCATTGATGAGTTGGAGAAGTCGATTCTGATGTAACCATCACGAAAGACATAAGAAGGTGTGTAATAATAGAGTTGTTATCATTGTCATCTCATTTGGTTAATGTAGTGATTTAAAGTTGCGTTGCAAGCTGGATAGATGTGTTTTGTGACACATATTCATCGTGAGGCAAGCTATTCCGTGAGTTGCGATTGCTGATGCGTCGTGACGTATTAGAGTGGAGTTTTCGTCTCTTCGAGATTTTTCTAGATAGCTCCATCATTTACTTGACTTAGGTTGATATAAATATGTAATAATTGATGATTTATTTAATTTGTTGATGTACGTTCTCTCACAAAAGATGCATTAAATATAACTCATAGGGTTTTCTAGAGCTATGAAAAGTTAGCTTCTTATTATTTGGATTATCTTATAAGCTTGTTTCCATGCCAACAATACCTTTTATGGCATGTGTGGTGCAAACCTATAATGCATCCTCATCAATATAATGATTCTTCTACAAGTGTCTATAAATATTTTAGGATCGTCATAAATATTCTAGCTAGTATGTTTCTACAACCGTTCACTTCACGTGCATTGTATGTGAAGCAAACCTACAATGCATCTTTCATTAAGAAACTAGGGGTGAAAATCCTTGCATTGTGTGGTTTCCTTCGTTGCTAAAATTGTCATAATCAATTTTCTGCTATGGCACACATGGTATATCATTGGATGGCAAAAAGTTGTTGTTGGTAACACACCATGACATACTATATACTAGGGTTTACAAATTTAATGTTGAGTTGGAGAAGGCAACTCTGAAATAACCATCACAAAAGTCATAAGAAGGAGCGTAATGGAGCGTCATCATTGGCATCTCTTTCCGTTCATGTAGTGATCGATTTCAAGCCACATTGCAATAATGTAGTGATCGATTTCAATTTAAGCCATGTTGCAATAATGTAGCTTGTTGTGCTTTGTGACACATATTCATCGTGAGGCAAGCTATTGCATGAGTTGTGATTGGTGATGCCCCATGATGTGTTGGAGTGAGATTTTCGTCTCTTCAAGATTCCCTTAGATAGCTCAGCCCTCTACTTTGTTATAACACTGTTGGTGATATATACTTGACATAGATTAATGTAATAATTGATTATATATTCAATTTGTTGGCGTTCTCAGCTCTCAAAAGAGACGTATTGAAGATAACATAGAGGGTTTTATGGAATTATGAAACATACCTTCTTATTATCCTAGATTAGCTTATAAGCTTGTTTCCACGTACAGCAATACTCTTTATGTAGTATGTGATCCAAACCTACAATGCATCCTCAATTCCTCATCATCAATATATATAATGACTTCTACAAGTGTTTAAAACTTTCAAGTCTCATAAGTATTCTAGCTATTATGTTTCTACAACCGTTCACTTCGCGTGCATTGTGTGTGATGCAAATTAAATCTACAATGCATATTTCATCAAGAAACTAAGGGCACGCATGGTTTATTGCTGGATGACATAAATTGTTAAGTTGTTGATAAGTGATAACACACCATGACATATTATGCTAGCGTTTACTTATTGACTTTTTTACTTGTTTAGATATTATATATTATTAGGAATATTTGACCCAGATTGATGGAATTAATACTATTTTATATTTTCCCCTTAAATGTCTTATCCTATATTATTTAGGGCGTTTCGATGTACAATAATTGTTTACTTCATGTGCATTATGTGTGTTACAACCCTACAATTTCTTTTACAATAGCTTGTTACCATATAGGGACATGTCATGGTGGCAATGTTAATCTTAGTAGATTGAAACCAGGGGCAATATATCTGAATGTCAGTTGCTATTCAAAAGTATGTAGATATAAATCACACTAGAAATATCTTATGTATGACAATTTGATCAAATCAAGAGTATGTTAATAAGATATTTTCTTGCAAGTTCACACCTTTTAACATTGATGATTGGAATATATTTCACAACTTTTTGATGAACTGTCAAGGCACCAACTAAACACATCTATAACGTTGACATTAATTTTAGTCAAACATATGAGTGGATGTACACTCACATTTTGCATTTTTGCTTACCAACACATTGTGATTAGTGGGTAATTATTAATGCACACCTTCGAATAGTGACAGTTGTTTCTTTCATATATCATCCAAAAATAATAATAATAATGTTATAATCTTATACATTGTATAATAGACAAACATAAGCAATTGGAAATTAAAGTAGCATACAGAAATAAAATTATTACTAACCAATCAAATGATGTCACCGAACCTTTTTTTTTTAAACATACAAGAGAAATTGATTTTGAGACTTATGAGTCACACGTCTAAAATATATAAATATGTGTTACTCAATATATAACTTTGAACAACAAAAATCAACAAAAAGTGGGAAAGAACAACAAAAATCAGTTAAAAGTTTAAAACATAAATGCTCTGCATTTATTAACTTGTTAACGCACCCAATAATTATCATAACCCATATAAAACCACTCCTCCAATAAATTTACAATTCCTAAACTCCAAAATAATAAAGAAAACATTTATTAAAAAGAAAGAAAGAAAAAAAAAAAAAAATGAATCGTGTTTTTATTGTCGGTATGATATTGCTGTTAGGTTTGGCAATGAAAGGTGAGGCCAGAAATCCAGCGGCACCGGCACCGGCACCGGCACCGGCACCGATGAAGTGCGATGAAGCTTCGTGCGCCGACAAGTGTACGGGAGGATACAGAGCAACGTTTGATGAACCGTTTGCTTTATCAGTGTGTGAATCTCATCCACCTTTCGGAGACGTTTGTGTTTGCAGGAATCACTTTCCAAACTCTGTTCCTGATTATTCTGAATTTTTTGCTGAATATGACACTTAATAAAACAATAATAATAATAATAATAATAATAATAATAATAATAATAATAATAATAATAATAATAATAATAATAATAATAATAATAATAAAACCTTGTAGTTTTGCTTGAGAATTACTATGAAATTTGGAAACCGCGACCCAACTTTATTGTGTTTCTTATTAGCTCTGGATTCTGTTAGTGCGGGTGTGCACAATTTGATAAAAAAAAATTCAGTAAAAATATTTAACCCAATATTGGTTAATCTAATTATTAGTATGTTTTTTTTTTTGAATGCTAATTATTAGTATGTAATAATAATATAATTCATAAATTATACTATTAAATTATTATTTTTTTTTTTTATCATTTGTATATTGATATAATGACTATTTTGTGGCGTGAAACTATAAATTGAAAATTCTTAACCTAAAAACAATAGTTTGATTAATTCAAAATAAGAAGTTTAACTCAGTTAACGCATTTTGCAAATTCAGTTAATTCAATTTAATTATTAACTAAATTAACCAAATGAATACCCTTACCTACTTAGAGGAAAACCTGGTCCAAAACTTTATAGCATGACACAACTTTTACGAGGTTCGAATTTTTAACCTTGCAGTCCGCTTAGCTTACTAATAGGGTATGTTATTTTTGCAGAAAAGAAAATAATTGATCACCTAAGGCTAAGGAAAGAATAAGATAAACTAAAGGCAAAATTTTAAAATGGTACAGTACAATTTATCCACAAATGGGTTAAAGAAAGTAGTACTTCTATAGTTCTATTTCAACTCAATGTGTACAAAGCATACAGATGTTTATGTCAAAGCAACGATAGTAGCCAGTAAATCCCAGAATCACCAATTGGTGCTGCTGTCTGGATCGCGGGATTGGTAAAAATCATCCGGTCTCACCACATTCACGTCCTCAAAATCGTTATTATCATCTAAAAGATGGAAAGGTACATGTGAATAATCAATTAAGTCAACCAAGACACAAAGCAACACTATGTATTGAAGGATAACAAGATTGCAGAAGTAACCAGAAATGAAGCAGTGTGTGTTCCCCCCGACCATGACCCTCCATGCACGCGCACAAAAAATGATAGAGAAACCAATCAAACCATAGAGAAGCCTTACCAGGAAAGGCTTTAAAACTAAACCAGAAAATGACAGATAGACAGTAATTTACTCCCTGATTAACAAAGATAGCAAAACAGCACCACTTTCAACCCTAAAGTTCTTGTATTTGAGTTAACACCTTGTTATATAATGCATGACAAATACAGAGTCACTCGACAAATTTCCAGATTCATGATCTTTCTGGGGCCAAATCCTCCCCAGTTTAGTTATGAATTCTCTTCCGCTATCGTTGCGGCTCCCAGCCTCCCATTCATTTGAGTTCCAAGTTGCAACTTGCAACCATAAATTATATATAGCAAGAGCCCCCTAGCGGTAAGACAAGGAGAGGGAGGACTAAAATAGTGCAGTTGGAGATCAATGTTTAAATCATACTACTTAGCAATGTTCTAACAACTTCCACACCAAAATCCAAATAAGATTCTAACTACTTGGCCTAGGCACAAGGCAAAATTGCAAATCAGTACTCCAACCATCTATGTTCAACTGTGATAATGCTGGGAGGTGTGATTATTTAGAAAGTTCTATATTTTATTAGAATTGTATTAGAAAATTTAGATATTAAGAAACTACTAAATAATTATTTAGCTTATTACTTAAGTTATTCGGAAGCTACCAAATAGTAATTTGGTTTATCATTCTTACTATTCGAATTAGTTTAGGCAATTTAGTTATTTGGAAACTACCAAATAATTAATCATTCTATATTTAGGAATCCTTGTAATCAACCCTATAAAAGGGAGTGTTATTTGGAAGAATGGACAAGCAGAAATTTAATCCTAAAATAAGGGACTAACTGACTAAGGGAGTTTTGGGTCTCAAGCAAACCAAACGTTCTCTTTTCCTTTTCTATTCTTTGTTCTTTTATTTTGTGTTTTTCCCTGTGATGGGAAAACATAACAACAAACTGTTTGATTTTTTTTGGGTATACTCAGGGTTTCCACCTCCCCTCAGTGGAGATTTAAGGCTGCTCCATACCCAAAGCCAAGGATCGAACCCTTGACCTTTGGTTAAGGATGGATGAGTCCACTGAACCACACCCCCCCAGGTTACAACAAACTGTTTGATGTTACAACTAATATGGAGCATGGAAACTCTAAAATAAGGAGTAACTCACTCTTTAATATGTGAGTTCCTATCTAGTGAGTGCATATGTACTATATATTCTAATCACATAGGAAGCATACAATTTGAAGTGAAGAGTTTTGAAAGAAAAAGAGAACCTTGTTTCAGAGTCAGTGCCACTACAGCATCATTCTCAACCTGAAAAGCATGCGGATTGATTACAAATTTGAAAAGTAAATACTCAATAGTCAATACAACAGCACATGATGAAATATGGTCAAAAGCATAACCTATTCACAAACAGGGGAAAAGGGCATCTATTACATTAGAAATACTAAAGAAGCTTGTATGTCATGAACTCAAAAGAAAATGGAAATTTACCTTCTGATCCGCCAATGACTTTGTGTCATCCAAAACCTCCCTAGTTTCCAATAGAATCAGGCGCTGATCATTTACAGGTTGATCTATAAGAACCCGCAATTTCTCCTTGATTTGTAAAATTGTCTCAGTTGGTTCACACTGAATAAAGTAGGTTGTCCTACTGCGCTTGACACGGATATACATTGCCTGCATTCATTTGGACAAACTAATAATTTAACCAATCCCAAATTTCCCAATTATAATAATCTATTGTGATTCCTGAAATTAAACCTATTCCATTTTTTTCTTATTGATTCTGAAAGAATGTCTAAGAAACCTTTAGAACACTCATTAACCCATATTAAACCAAACTGCTCATCTGTCAGCAACTAGGTGAATTTCTCATGAGTCATGACAAATGTTGATTAACTTTTTGAAGCTGCCCACTTCTCCTAACTGATTGCACAAGATATTACACCTATAGTCAACATCTTGACTTCCACCAGATCATATGCACATCTAAACATATGTATTTCGAATTCATTCATACACAAACAGCATACATAATATTAAAATCCACATATGCTTTCACATAAAGGCTGCTCATCCAAAATGTGTCTTATTGCATCCACATTTTGAAGAGGCTTTAAAAATTTTGTACTCCATAGTAAAAATTAATAGTACTTTGTAACATTTTAAGAAAACCTACTACTATTTGGTACTCAAAAGCTTAGGTGGGGAAGCCTAATCCTCTAGGGCTTCTCTTAGGCTTTTTTTGTAAAGGGATATCCCTCCCAATGGCAATCTCTCGAAACAAATTTTAACCTTTTTCTGCCATGCTGGGAGTCAGTAGTCCCTTCCATTAGACTCAAACCACATTGAATAAGAGAACGTACTATATTTGAAGCTCATTTATGACACCATTCAATGAAGCAATAAGTTGCCATATTCTTCAGCTACTTGCTCCTTTGAAAAACTAAAGAAATTATCCGATGCATTGCACAGATTAACAACTAGGTCTCTAAACATGGTTGTGTTGTGCTGTGTCACTCAAAACTCACCAAAATTCAACTCAGTCCTTGAGGGGAATCCTACCACACTGTTTTTACACACTGTAGTGAGTTCAATTTCCATTTTATCTCATTTAATTCATCAATTTATTATAAATCCAACTCCGACCTCGGGAGGAATCACACCACACTGCTTTTACGCATTGAATTTAAGTTCAACTTCCATTTTCTCCGATTCGATTCTTCAATGAATTACAATTCCACAATTAACAAAGCAACAACAATAACGAACAAATATTTGCAGCTGTGTTTATCAGATCTATGAACAGAAATAGGGAAGAAAATTGTATGAGCACGCGAAAAACATCAGTGTATAAGAAAATTAGTTAATTGTAGAAAGAAAATTAAGATTAGCGCTAACCATGGTGGAAATTGCCGGCGGATTTTGACCTCGATGGCGCTGATCTTTGGAGGTGAAGGCGAAGTAACAAATTCACTTGGAGATTGTTATGACGGTTTGACCCTAGAGTTTGGATAATACCGTTTAGCGCCCATAGTTTCCCATTTTTAATTATTTGATCCCAAAATAGGCTCACGGGAACGGGGAATCTCCTAACATATGCTTAACTTGAATTACCCGATTATTAAGATTTCACTATTTTAGTTCTCTACTTTTAAACTTCTCAATTTCAGTTCAAATTATATAAATTTTACTAAAAATAGTGTTTTGTTTAAATTAAAATAGTCTTCTTTATAATCATTTTGGTTAACAATTGCATAGTTATGAGTGTAATTGACTAATTGAGCAAGCTTGAAACTTAATGACCTAAGTAGTAAAATTCTAATAGTCGATGCCTCAATGGATCAAATTGGGTATTAACTCGTTAGTATTTTGAGTCGGATATTTTATACATTGAACTCATATCCGATTTTCATTATTAATTACTATGTAAAGTTAAGTGTAGATAGTGATATTTGACTTAATTGCTACACATTCAAAAATATATTAATAATAGGTTTTGGTGAAAGTATTTTGCATGTTTGGTAGTATGATGGGATTGGAATGATTATCAATATTGTTGTTTGGTTATATACGATCCTATAATGAGAATAAAGGTTTAAAAAATACAAGAACAAAAAGTCAAGACAATTTAATCTAATATAAAGACATCCAAATTAAAGCACCAATATGAAAAAAAAAAAACAAAACAAAACAAAAATCTAAAAACACTAATTCAAACTTAAAAATCAAATTACCAATTAGGAGGGGAATAATGAAATTAAACTCTTATTTTATTATGAAATGAAACCCTTATTTTATTATGAAATGAATTTTCTAATTATTAAGAGGTAATCAATTCCATAGTAGTTGATGTAGTAAATACAATTGTATTATTAAGTGTTAAACATATTGTACAAGATATAGGTATAAGCCGGTTTCGAGGATAATGGCTTCACCTGTTTGCTTGTTGGTATAACTAATAGAGCCCGGACAACGTGACAATGGGTCAGAGGTTTCCGAGATCCGTCGCTGTCGTCTTAGTAAACAACCAAAAGTTTCCCTTACTAGCAATAAATGCGGTATTTATAGGTAGGTGAGGGAACAGTTCCCCGCATGCCTGTCGCGTGGAACCCATGAATGGGCGAAGAGGGTGGCCCTAGTGCTAAGCTCCACGTGCTGCAGGATTCTTGGCAAGATTAGACAAGTCAGATTGCCTTTAAATGATCGGCCCTGGTTCAGATGGTCGGGAAGAGGGGCCGAGCAATACCTGTAGCTAGGGTAACCTATGGTATTGCTCAGAAAGTTACACTAACCGGGAAGCAAAGCCCATGGTCCTAATAATGGCTAGTTTGGGCTTGTCTGGACCAGTGGACCAAATACCAGTCACCGTTGAGCATAAAAGTCAAAAAATAATCCCTATACGTAATATTTTAAAAACTTGTCAACCAAACAATAACAATCACTTTAATTTTCATTCATGAGGGCTAAACCCATGAACCAAATACACCCTAATTCTTCCCTAATTATTTCCTTTCAACCAAATAACTTGCTAGACTCGAGCCCGACTCAATAGGTTAAATTTAAACATTTGGAATTTTGGAGTATGAAATTGACTCCAAATAGCTCAGGAATATGTTGACTGATTTATGCTTAAGGAAAACTGTAGCAAGCTAACCAAAGGCATATTAACTAGTGTTGAGTATCCCGCTTAATCCCTAAGGTACCAAATGTGGACTAAAGACCTGAACGCGCTATCAGACAAGCAATTTCCGATCACGTTTAGTTTCCACTGAAACTCCGCAGAGAACACCGACGATTTGCACTTCACAATCCCAATACATAACTACTCCGCAGTCTATACAACACTTGTAGCTCCCGCGCTCGCCGTTTCCTGAAAATCTGCTGCCGGAACATAGATTCCATTGCGGCTTTAGATCGCGTCACTGGTAAGTACGATCGTGTTTATACTATCAGATCTGGAATTTTGGTTTCCTATGTGAATGGCGGAATTAGAGTTTGAATGTCGAACCTGAATTGCTGTTTGCTGTGTTGTTGTGGAGGTAATTAGGGCACCATGAGTAGTAGCAATCTGTTAACGGGATTTACGAGGCTGTGCAAGGGTCTGGCGGTGGTGTTAGTCGGCGCTCACATTGTTGTTCAGATTCTTCCCTCTGCCGTTTCATTTCTCGCTCTTATCCCTGCTAAGTAATCAGCTCTGAATCCCTTTTATAACCTCCATTTTATTTGCTGAAGGCTCTGATCTGCTTTGTTCGTTGATGGAATGCTTAGGAATTTAGATTTAGAAAGTTTGTGTTAGATTAGTACTTGGATTTAATGTGAGCTAGGAGATCACCGTTCAAGCGTTTTCCATTTAATTTGCAGGCACTGCATGATATATTGATATATACCGCTTTAAATTGAGAACATTAATGTAAACCACATTGGAGATCAGAAGCCTTCTAGCATTCTACCATTTTAGGCCAATTACATTTTCTCCCTTAGCCTGGCATGAAGAAACAAACCCAATAGGCCAATAGATAACTTCTTCTTCTTCTTCTTCTTCTTCTTTTTTTTTTTTTTTTTTTTTTTTTTAATTACTCTTTAGATTCTCTGTTTTAGCCCTTTACGTTTTATGATTAGGAAAACTAATCAGTAATTATATGCAATATCATTTATAGGAATTGATATTTTGATAGAAAAACCCTCCTTTATATCTTATGATAAAAAAAAATGAGATGAACATTTACTGTTTGAGAAAAGGAGGGAGGAGATTTTAACCATCCATGTTGAATTGTTCTATGCTCATTAGATATAAAGCTTAAAGAAATTGAATAGAAGGAAAAAAGGATGAGAATGGAAAATAAATTTTGCTGTTTGTGTTTTTCTTTTAATTTTTTGACGAATTACTGTATTGGTTTTGTTGTAGGACTATACCATTTGCATGGAATCTAATAACAGCTGGTTATCTTGAACAGACTATATATGGGGTATTTTCTTTTCTCTAGGATAAGGCACTTCATTACCTAACTCCTTTGGGTAATATTTTGCTTCATATATCATTCACAAGTTTTTTATGAGGATTATCTTTGTTTCCAGGTGTTTGTCAGTGTTTTTGGGCTGCTTTTCACTGGGAAGCTGCTTGAACCCATCTGGGGCTCTAGGGAATTCCTGAAGTTCATCTTCATTGTTAACTTTTTGACATCTGTCTGTGTCTTCATAACAGCTATCTCCTTGTACTACATAAGTAGAGAGGAAAGCTACCTGTAAGTGATGTTTATCTTTTTCTTCTGGAACACATTCTTAGCCTTGGTGCCCTTAGCTCTTCCTCCAACTCTCATTGTTTTATTACTTCTGCTTTATTTTATTTCGTAATTTTGTGCATGACCAAGATGAACATCACCAGTCACTGAATTTTCTTTTCCTTTTGCTTAATTCTGTAGCTATTTGCCTATTTCTGGCTTCCAAGGGGTCCTTTCTGCGCTCCTAGTTGGTATCAAGCAAATCATGGCTGATCAAGAGCTCTCTTCATTGAAAATAAAAGCAAAGGTACGAGCCATTGAGAATACCTACATAATATTAAACTGCATTGAAAGTTGAAACTATTGATGCAATAGCCAACAAACTAAAAGATATAACCTAATTTCTCTTTTTCAATACTTTGTGCTCTTGGCAGTGGCTGCCATCCCTCACAGTGCTGATATCTATTGTTATAAGCTTTTTCACCGTAGATTCAGCAGCATTCCTTCCACCTCTAGTATTTGGCACATATATAGGTTGGATTTATCTAAGGTACTGGCAGCGCAAACCAGAAGCAAAACTCAGGGGTGATCCAAGTGATGAATTTGCTTTCTCAACATTTTTCCCACAATTTTTAAGGTAACCTTCAATTGTTCTATATTTCATGCTCATGGATCAAATTTCTTTCAAAATCTCTGTCACCCTTTTTTGTAATTGGTTGATCACTTCTTACTGGATGGCACGCAGACCTGTAATTGATCCCGTAGCTACAATATTTGATCGGCTGCTGTGTGGTAGAAGATCCGAGGCATCTAACGAGGAGAGAGACTATACTTTAGGAAGTACTGCATTGCCTGGTTCTGACCCCATTGAAGCATCTAGAAGGAGGTAATCTATGTGGTCTCTTGTCAAAGGTGTCATGCATTGGCAAATGATACATGAAACTTGCTAAAAATTGGCAGAGCAAATGGTTTAAAATCTGAACTAATATATCCTACGTTGAAGATCCCGGTGACATAGTAAACTTAATATAGTCCCTTTTAGAGGTTTTCATGTACAATTAGGTCCTTGCTTTCTTTCCCTATATGACTATATCCATGGCTCTTGTAGTACACTTCCGAGCAGATAAAGCTTTATGCTAAATTGCTAACTCATTTACTGTGCTACTGTCGTGAATTACAGGGAAAGGGGTGCTCGGGCACTGGAGGAACGATTGGCAGCTGAGATGCTGGCTTCTTCTGGAGGAAGTGCTGAAGAGTTGCGAAGAGTCGGGTCAGATAATGTGTAGATGCGGGTGGAAACACAGTTATATTTCATACTCTTTGGTCTTTGCAAACAGAACATCTGTGTCTACCCCCAGAAACCGAGAAACTACAGGGACATTGTAACTCTTTTGGTTCTTGACGTTAGTTCTGTTGCATCATCTTTTGTTAGCTCATATACAGATCTCTTTCTACTTCGCTTTTTGACTTTTCTCATATATAGTGTTGCTTATGAGCCCCATCAAGAAGTCAAGAACTATGGAAATCTGTGGAACTTGTTGACAGGGTTTTCTACATGATAATTCAATTGTTTACTTAAACAGAGAATGAAGAATGAAAAACTAAAGAAATGAAGAATGAAGTTTATATGTATACCCCAACTTTTTTCATGATCTTGTCCATTCTGTCTTTATGCATATATAAACATTATATCAATGTGTAAAGACATTAAAGTAGTGATGAAAAAGCAAGAGTTGGGTAAAGCTAAAAAAACAAATCTGTCTATATAACAAAAGGGTTTTATTGTCTCCATCTCTTGCATAAAACACAAGCTTGTAGAGGAGGAGCTCTGGTCCTTGGTTTAGGTAAGCCGGTGTCTCTTGTAGTGCAGCCATCTCCACCTATTAGATCAACACACAGAGAAAAGGGTATGTATGAATGGATATTCCTTTTGCATTTATAAATACAAAAAAATATAAGTGTTGGTAATTATATTATTAGCATTGGTAGACTTACCAATGGAAATCCCATCTGGGTCGGAGTTTGGACATCCGGTTGGGGCCATGCTCGTACTCGGTCTCAGCCCTCTTTGCATTCTGGAAAGCACAGCAACCAATGGAGTATATGCCTATAAGGAAAACCAGGACGACGATGTTAAGCACAGATATCTTCTGCCAATCCCTCTTCACATCCTCTAACACCGCCGCCTTGCACGAATCGCACTCGTAGCAAAGCAAATTCGCGTCGCTGCTCCACCGGTAACAATCCGGATCCTCCGCCATCACCGTCGTCCCTGCAGAGTTGCATGAAGTCGGCGGCTTACAACACCCCGACTAACAACAAAATATTAAATACTTAATTACAAATATCAATATTTTATCAACGCAATTAAGAAACCCGTAATCAGACTATGTGTATTAGGTAACTCTAGTCAAAACAAGTAACCCAGTTTATGTTAGTCAAGTAAATCAGCTTAGGTTGCTTAATGGCCAACAAATCGGTCTTAATGTGAATAATCTTGTCTTATAATCCTCCTAACCCACAACCTCCTTTCCTAGAGCTACTGAGTAGGTAAATTTCAAGACGTCATGCAATCAGTTCTCTGGACGAATTTTCATATACGCACAAAGGATCCAATCTAAATCTTCCAACATCTTTAGACCTTAGCTTGTATGAGTTTTTAGTGGGATACAAACTTCCGACCCACACTGTTGTCTCGTGACGACGAACCAATTATGCTAAGTTTTGAGGTACAAATTTTAATTTTTCTTCAAGTGAATAGTGTTACCTGTATGGGGGACATGTCTCTGAAGAGAAAATCATAGGGAGTCCAATTAACAACAGTAGCGCAAGTTTTTGAACCCAAAATACAAGCCCTGATAGTGGTCCAAGAACGGGGATCCCGCACCCTATCCTTGAGCCACGGCGAATATTTCCCGAGGTGGTACTCTCTGTACGCCCTGCCGGGGACGGCGGCGGCGCCGCCAGGGCTGGCGACGACGAACCCGAAGATGGTGAACCCCAGAAGTGCGAGTACGATGAGCAGCACGACGAAGAGGTACAACCACAGCGCCCATGCAACGTGGAAGCACGCGCCTATGAAACCGGTGAGCGAAACCACGAGGATTATGAAGCCGATGATGAGCATCGGCGTCTGGAGGAACTTCTCGCAGGTTGTGCTGCTCCTCGCCAGCCATAGTCCGGCGCCGATGATCGGAATCGACGCTAGCAGAGTGAGGAGATTCAAGAAACCTATCACTGTGTTGCTAAATCTAAGGTACATAATGTTTTCGAATTGTTTTCTGATCTTCTTCAGCTTTGTACTATACGTTTTTCTTAAGTGTGGAACGAAGAGTTCAAAAATCTGTATAAAAATCAAATAAATGAATAAATAATTTGTTTGATTCCTTTCCCGGGAATAATAGATCGAGTTGATGGAATTGAACTTTATTTTATACCTCCGATTCGTATGTATATAACATGTGATGGGGAATACTGTATGTATATTGCGCCTACTTAGCTATGAAGTAAAGTATCAGCCCGCCAACCAGCTTGGTTGGCGTGAGTGTTCATATGCAAAAATCAATCTAGTCCGCACTTTGCTGATTAATTGGACTGGTCCGAACGTGCGGGGATTAGTCAGAGTATGGTACGGGCTTAAAGGTGTCTTCTACAGTTAGGACTTGCTCAGGACAAAAGTATCTGCCCACCTACACGTATAGTAGATAGTTGAGTTGACATCTTAATTACTTGAGTAAGAGGTTTCGAGTTCGAGTATAGTATATGAGTACATTATAAAGATGTTGGCAAGGTTTTATTTTCGGAACCTTTGTACATGTTTGATGGTGAAATTTGTGTTACGTTATTATTAGACAGATTGAAATTAATTTAAATTTGTTGTTTGAAATAGTCCACTAATTAAATATGTTTGCACTAATTAAACTAGATGTTGTGATTAGAGGAGTCTAAACTTGTATTATGCCTCTGCTACCAATTCAATGAACTGATTGGCAAGGTGCAAGCATAGCATCAAAAGGGAAGACAAAGAAAACAATAAGGGACAATTTAGTCAACTCAGAAAAGGGAACCCTTTGATCATGGACCCCAACATTTGGCTTCCTTTCTAAGCACAATATGAACAAGAATCCTTGTATATATACATGTGTATGTGTGTATATCTCAAAGTGGGGATAGAGAATAAAAACTGGATAATTTATTGTTCAATTCTTATCTTTTCTTCTCTGCTTTTGTTTTGTTGATCAGTGTGATTGATTCCCCTTTCTGTTTGTTCCAATAACTAATTCCCCAGTGGAACAAGCTACTTCACATTATATCATTATAAATACAAACATTTTCTGCCCTCCACTCTAAAATAAGAATTTCTGTAAAAAAAACTCTATTAAATCCAACTTAAAGCTTTTTAGGGTAGATTGTAGATATAAAAACTGCATATCAACACTAACAAGTAACAACTAATATCTTTGGCTTTGTTTCCATTTTCTAAATATATATATATATATAAATAGGAAATCTTGGAAAAGAAAGGGGAATATATGCAAACCTAGTTGATCTCTATAGTCTAAAAATAACTTTTTCCTGCCTTTTTTGTTGCTTTTTATTTTATTTTATTTTTTAATAAAACCCTTTTTTTCCTAGAGTCTAGAAATCACTTATCAATGTGATCACCACTTAACTAAAATAATATCATACTTAAAAGTAGGTGCATATATGAGCCACATAATCAAGATTCAAGATCAGCAAGCCAGTCAAGTTGGTCGGACAGTTGGCTTGATAACCACAAGGTTTCAAGTTCGACTCATCGTGAGAGCTGTCTCTTGCCACCTTCTTGGTTTGAGCAGGGCATACCTTTGGATAGCAGGGCTTTCCCGTAAATCAAAGTCAGTTTATTTGAAGTATGTGAAATTGACTAACACAAATACTGTGAACCCTATGGAAAAGAAGCATTTTGCATTAATGTTCCAATGGTCAACAAGGGTGAATGATGAGAGGCTTCATGTACATGAAGGGATAAAGAATTTTACTTACATTTTCAATTCAAATCCAATGACAGCACATACATTATTATGAATCTAATTTCAATGGGAACATATATTATTGGATATGAGATCAGGTCTTCTGGCAATCTTCCTATAACAATTTCCAATCAAAATATAAAATACAAACCTTTGGTTGCTTGTCATAATGAATGGCGCGGCTTATGCTGGCAATGGCTTGTTCTCCAGAAATGATCTCAGAAGAATAAAAGCTTGTCGCGGGCGATGTAAGGGCACCTCATGGCCTGCTCCAGTTACAGTCACAAGGGTCAACCCTTTGTATATTTGGCTCCATCCACCAACCTATTAGACATAAGAAGAAGAAGATTTAAAAAAAAAAAAAAAAAAAAAAAAAAAAACAGCATGAATCCACAAGACACTGGAAAGCTTTTATGTATGATTTTGAGCCACTATTATAATTTTATTGCATAATGATGTGCTTTTGTCATATCAGATGTAAAGGAAAGAGTGTTATCCAAATAGCAACCTTTCTATAAGAATTAAGACAGGCAGCACTAAACAACAAGAACATGTCAATGAAAATCAATTTTCTAGCTTTCAACTAACCTTCCCATTATCGTACCAAGGGTACCAGTTGGCAACAGTTGGAAGCTTCAATGCATCGATGGAATACCGAGTTGCTGTTACTGGAACCACAGAATCAGTATCCCCACTGCAAAACGAAAAGGTAAAAGAAGGTGATAAATATAGCATGTTAACGGTGTTTGGCGTGTAGTTTGGTGGTAAATTACACCCCTTCTACTCTTCTAGGGGGTTGACTTAGGTTTAAATCCCACAACCCCAATCCTCCATCAAATGTACCCAAAATGAAAGCATGTTAAAGAAGTTCTCAAGAAAAATATTTATGTGTGCATTGCGATTTTGAAATATGACCCATGTTTCTTTATTTAAAGATCAGTCGAGGAATCCCATCATTAGGCTAGAGTTATAATGTGAGAAATAAGTTAAGCACTCCTCTTGATCTGTAGCTCCTTACAGTTTCAACTTCTTCAGAGCCATGATTAGCTACAGCATGCTAAAACAAAACATTATACTTAGAGGTAGAAATTTTTGAAAGAAAATGCCATAGATAGAGATGCATCATTTACTTAAACAATGGCTTACAAGGGTAATGCCTATGGATAGAGATTCAGCAGTTGATAATTTGATATCCTTTGTGATACAAGAAAATTTTTAAGTTTGAACCAAGATCGTCAGTATATACTTTAAAACTTGCATCATTTCTCTGGTGTGATAATCAAAAGAATTGACTTTGTAGTTTGTTACGTGTAATGTAAAAATGTAGAGGCATGTGAATTTTATGGAAAATTTTATTTTGTTGGGCGATCAGTGGACAGTCATTCAAATATTCAACATAGTTAAAGTTATAATATGAACATATCAATCAAATGGTGAATCCCATATCCTCTTTTCTAAATCTTATTCACTATTTCACTTAGAGGTAGAATGTGGATGGTTTTCATGACTCACAATGTGTTACAATTTGATCTTAGAACTTAGAAGTACCAGTAAATGTTGAATAAAGAAAAGTTTTGAATGGTCTAATTATACAATTCATATTAGATTTTTGATATAAAGGATCCGTATATGGTGAAGTAAAGGTAATAACACCATGAAAGGGGAAGCGAAAAGACTAAATCAGCTGAGGTGGTACCTGAATACCCATATCCTGAGACCAGCAGCTATTAGTTCTCGATAAATAGGAAGCATTGATACAGGAGAATCTCCCCAGTAGTTACTAACAACATCACTGCAAAGTAATGAGCTTCCAGTTAGCAAAGGCTAATAACTTATTAATAGGATGCAAAATTTTCATATTCTTTTCACTCACCTGCATGTGGCCCATGGATAGGGAATTCGAGTTACATTAGCATGTAATGCCTTCTGGACTTCTGGTAGGTTAAAGTAAAACTGAGAATACCTCTCTGTGCATGGATCATATGCTCTGGACATCCATGGCTGCCGTTTGAAGAAGATAAGTTCAGTTGCAAATAGAGAAACAAAAGAAACTAGCAACACTAATGAGAAACAAAGACTCAGAAAAGTTATGAGAGGATCTAGAGTCAATACTAAGCATTTATGTACAAGAACTGAAGGCTAGAATGGTGAAACATTCCTCAAACTCCAGTATTTGAGAGTTCTTTAAATGACAATTATGTACCTTAGGTAAATTTGATACACAGTGAGATCAAATTTGAATAACAGAATTGCATAGCGTGCCAAAAATGACAGTTAAGAATTCAAGACTCAACAACTGCTTCAAGCACAGCTACACGCCTAGGTTTCAAGTGGCATTAAAATATAAGCAGTTTCTTTATTTTTTCAGGGAGTAGAGGGGGAAGAAAACTAGTCTACTACAATTCAGCAACTATCAATTTTATTTCCCAAAATTGACAGTCAGAGTATGTGAATTTAGACAGCATATCGGGAGAGTTTGAAGCTTTTGATTCTAATCAATAAGGTTTCAAGAGAAACTACATATTTGCAAAGAGAAATGGGGTAATGCAGGTCAGACAAGAACAAGAAATTACTCACATAATGACCCCTTAAGTTGTGCTGAAGTGCTGAAGTGTTAGCACAGGGGGGAGTGTATATGCTATACGGATCAATATTTCCCTGCTCACGCTCTGCAATACTAAGTGCTCTGATGCAATCACTTGAAGGATGTGTAGATGATTCAGAATCACAAGCTTTGCGAAGATACTTGTATGTAGAATCTGAAATTAAACCATGTGTCCACCAATACTCAAATGTGCCAATGTAGTCATGGTAATCATCTATAACTGCATTCCCCACCTTTAAGAAAAGAAATCAAGGTTAACGAAAAGGGCAGAGTATCAATAATTGATGAAAATAGTTAAAAGATAATTGCACAAATTGAATGAAGCTTGCAAGTGCTTGTTAGGCATACCAAGAAGCCCTTGAAATTAATAACAGGGTTCTTGATTCCCTTGTTTCTTTGGTAGACAATTTGAGATAGCTGTGGGACATAATGCCCTGACAAGATTAACATAAAAGTTAAACCAGATCATTCATAATCATATTATGCTGTAGTGTTGTTGTTATCATTATTTATACTCCAGGTATTATGTGAACAGGGAAATGATGACTACACAGCTACAAAGTGAAAACACGGACCTGCATAACTTTCTCCAGCAATGTAAAAATCTCTATACTTGTATTGAGGAAACCTATCAAACCACTTGACAAGAAATGCATATGTATCTTCAGCTACATTAAAAAAAAAAAAAAAAAAAAAAAAAAAAAAAAAAAAAAAAAAAAAGTTCCAAGTCAAACAAATTAGAGCCAACTCATGGCAAGTGAAGCATTCATACCCAGTATTTCAAC